ACACACACACACACACACACACACACACACACACATCCACCCTCACTTCACAGTCAATTTTCTTATTGCCTTGCTTCCCTGAAGTTGGCGGAATGTGGTGTGCCTCGGAGTACTTTTCTGTAGCTGTCCCAGCTTATCACTTTTTCCTCTGCTTACCCCACCCGCTAACAACATTCTCCTCACCACAACCGATTTGCAGTATGATAATGAATCTGCAAGGAGAATGAGTGAGAGCGATAGACAGAAAACCAAATTGCTACATCACATTGAAGACCAGATGGTCGTGTACCGAGCAGAAAGTAGCGTGCACTGAGATACAAGCCAAATAAGAGAAATGCAATGAGCTCAAATGTCAATGTCAGCCCCAACTCACCACCATCAACAATGCATCCAATGTCGCTCTTCACACATGGCTCTCAGAGCCCAGCCAGCCTACCATTACTCAGCACCTATTCTAGCCTACACAACGAAGCTGCAGCCAGGAAACACTCCAGCCGACAACCAATGTACATGACGAAATCATCCATGTAGAGTCATTGCAGACCACCGCATACACATCAGGTACGTGTCTCTTCTCCCTCTCTCTCAACCTGGCCCCACAGTCTCCTCTATCACCTCACCGACTACCAGCGAGGTCAGCCTGGCTATGGCTGTCTTGCACACTGCCTTCTGAGCAGCGCCCTACCAAGCGCCCTTGTGCGCCTCCAGCCCAGCCTGTGAGCAACCTCCAGCAGCCAGTGCAGCAGTGCTGCTGCGAGGTCGACTCCAGACTGAATGTCTGGAGGGCGGGCTGCTCTTTCCGATATGGAAAGAGCTCAGCCTGTCTGGTTACCTCGAGCTGCACTTCGGGAACCCCTATCTGAAAATGGACTGGGCCCGACAGTTGAGGTGGCCCAGGCGTGAAACGTGGCTCACGCTGTTCGCTGCGCTCTCATTGCTCGAGAGCCAGTATGCAACATGTCGCCCAGTAATGGCCTACCGGTAGTCGTAACACCCTAGGGCCTGGTCACACATGCACTAAAAGTGCAGATCGTGCCCAGGGCCGGCAGGCTTGAGAAAAACCCTCCCGTGCGCCCCTGGAAAGTCAAAGGGCCACGGGTAGACCGGTAAGATCCAGGCGAGGAGTCAAAATCCTAGCACATCACTGAAATCCGAGTAAAGTGACACACATACATGAAGCTCCTGCCTATTGGTGGGAACCAATCCCTGCTAGCAACTATCAGACATACTCATCAATTCAGGTGATCCACCCAGACAGCAAAGGCTGGATGATAAAACCATTTGTACGAAGAGAAATAGTGATCTGTGTTTTTCTTTCTATTGTCGCATTGGCCATTCATAACTCCACCAAGGAAGCATGACTGTGCCAGACTGTTTCGTCAGACTTTCACCGACTCATGAGATTGGACCCCGACAGTCTTCCCAGGATGCATTTATTTTGACAGATCGATAAGAAGTATTAAGCACTCACCACGTCACCCTGAGTTATAGATGACCCTGAGAAAAGTGGTCTTTACTCACACCAACCCTGCAATCCTAGCAGACTGTACTCAATCACAGCCATAAATCTCACTCTACTATATACCCAGTCAGCCATGAATATCCACTGGCAGAGCATGGTCCCCTAGTACCCCTACCCTATGAGTAGCCGCATCTATCCACCTGTACGGAGAGCATAGCAAGGCCAGGTTGTCTGTTGTCATGATCACATTCGCGACTCCACAAAAACGCATGCCCTCGCCGAACTGTTTTGTCCGACTTTCACCGACTCCCGTGTGTGTTGTCGTGTTCGCTGTATGCAAAACAAAAAAATCCATGACTGAGCCAGACTGTTTCGTCAAATTTTCACCGACTCACGAGGAGGTTCAATCGCGGCAGAGTTAGCAATACGCCTGAGAAGAGTGGTCCACTTTACTAAGACCAACCCTGCAATCCTAGCAGATCCCTACCCCTCACAAGAATGCTAGTAAGTCTGAGAAACTAATCTGTCACAGCCATAAAACTCGCTGCATGCATGTGTGTGTGTGTTTTTCAAAGATCCCAAAATTCTCTCCTCATTCCGACCACAAATGGTCACAAACCACCCATCAAACAAAGAAGGTGTAGATAGGCAATATATGAGAAGATGCAAGGTTGCCCCCGTGTGTGTGTGTGTGTGTGTGTGTGTGTGTGTGCGTGTGTGTGTGTGTGTGTGTGTGTGTGTGTGTGTGTGAGAGAGAGAGAGAGAGAGAGANGAGAGAGAGAGAGAGAGAGAGAGAGAGAGAGAGAGAGAGAGAGAGAGAGAGAGAGAGTACTACAGGGACAGTAGGGGTGATGCAGGCAGAAGAGGAAATCAAGAAAAAAAAGAGAAAGGGGTATTGCTTAGAGAAAGAAAAATGAGGGGTGTGCTGATGGGTTTACATTGATCAGGACAGCAAATGGAACATGCAGAACACAGAGCAAAGGAACTTGACCTTAAAGCAAGACTGGAGTTGTTTTTCCCCTTTTTCCCCTTTGGTGGTCAGGCCAGGTCGAGTGAGGAGGGAACTCAGGGCCACAGAGGGGCACAAGAACAGAATGGCAAAAGGATGGTAGGTTTGCTTTCACACGACTAGTCCGTTAACATGTCTAGGCACTTATAAGCATGTTTGGGGTTCTTCACACTGTTTGTTATGAGAACGAGCAGGTGGGGGAGATGCTGGCAAGACTACGGGCTGGGCAGAAAGATAAGGAGGTTAAAGCGGGTGAAACAGGCCAGCAAAAATCCTTCTCATCAAGCACTGAGCATAAAATCACAACCTATGTGAAAGCCGACTCGGAGAATGACAGAAAGGGCACCCATCAGCCAGAGGGCATTGAACATGAAGAAGGCATTAGAAAGGAAGGAGAAGTTTCTGTTAAGGAAGGGGCAAATGGGGAAACAGGGAGGAGGAAAGACACATTCACGAAGGGCATTCCTGATGACCAGGCAGCGAAAGAAGGCACCATGAAGCAGGCAAGCAAACTGAAACGACAAGGGGAGCATGAATCTAGTAGTGGAGACAGAAGCAAAAGCAGCACCCAAAATATGAGAAAGGGTGACAGTACCACAAGCAGACGCAGGACTGTGACCAAGGCTAGCAATAGCGAGCACAAAGGAAGGGAAGAGGGAAGCAGAAGTAGAACCCGCCGCAAGAGCCGAGGCAGAAGCAGAAGCAGAAGCGCAGGCAGAAGCAGAAGCAAAGCAAAGGACCCAACCAAGAAAGCTCGCCAATGGGATTCTGCCAGCAGTCCAGAAGTTGCAAGCACTGGTGTGAAGGACAATAGGAGCACAAAGAAGACTGATACCAGCAAGGGAACCAGTAGACTGACAAAAGGTGAAATTGGAAAGGAGGACACAACAGGACCAGAGAGAAGAACCAGGTCATCCAGGCAGAATAGCAGCCAGGGACGCAGAAGCAGAAGCAAGAGCAGCAGGCAGAGTAGCCGAAGCAAAAGCAGGCAGAGTAGCAGAAGCAAAAGCAGGGAGGGTAGCAGAAGCCGAAGCAAAAGCAGGAAAGACAGAAGAAAGAAAGCAAAGGACTCAAGCAAGAGAGCTCACCAAGGGTATCCACCCAGCAGTCCAGCAGTTGCAACCACTGGTGTGAAGGACGATAGGAGCACTAAGAAGACTGATAGTAGCAAGGGGAGCAGTGGACGGACAAAAGGTGAAACCAGAAAGGAGGACGCAACAGGACAAGAGAAAAGAAGCAGGTCATCCAGGCAGAATAGCAGAACGGGACGCAGAAGCAGAAGTAGAAGCAGCAAGGGGCGCAGAAGCAGAAGCAGAAGCAGCAAGGGACGCAGAAGCAGAAGCAGAAGCAGAAGCAGAAGCAGAAGCAGAAGCAAAAGCAAAAGCAGCAAAGGACGCAGAAGCAGAAGCAGCAAGGGAAGCAGAACCAGAACCGGAAGCAGCAATGGACGCAGAACCAGAAGCAGAAGCAGCAAGGGACGCAGAAGCAGAAGCAGAAGCAGCAAGGGACGCAGAACCAGAAGCAGAGGCAGAAGCAGAAGCAGAAGCAGAAGCG